ACAACACATACATACGCACAGCACACACACGCTAATCAAAGTCTCCCAAAAAACCACTCTGATTTCCTTCCGAAATTCCGTTGCCAACGCATCTCTTTCCCTCTCCCTCAGTCATCCTGCAGCCGGTACTCGAGTCACTGAATCATCATATATGATTTCCCCCAGCACTATTTCTAAGCAAAATTTCTGAAAAAGGCAGAGACAAATGCCCCCTTCCCTCAGTCGTAAGCACCGCCTTGACTGCATAAATGCACGAGCGAGAGAGTTAGCGATGCAGATGAAAAATCATTAGCCTGCGCACTGACTGCCGGTGCGAAGATGCTTTTTTTGCACAGTTTTTCAGCACGTTTTTGTTGATAATGTCACTGCTTTTTTCGGCAGATGCTTCAAGCTAACTGAAAGCGGCCACCACGACTACTAGAAATTATTACAATGACTCCCAACCCACACCCAAAAAACTCAGCATTCTAGATGCATCGGCTGCGACGTTACGTCAAATTTAACATGTTCGTATGTGAGAGGGAACGTGGACGTCATTTTACGTGCGTTTGTCCAAACGCGGTCTCGGACTACGCCCAGAAAATTTTAGCACTCCGGTTGACCTGTCCCCGGAGTTATGTCAAAATTCACGTGTCCGAACGCGAGGGGGAAGATGGGTCCCGTTCCCATACGCCTTTACCCAACTATGGTTCTGAGCCACGCTCGTAAAGTTTCAGCCCTCAGCTGCACTGGCTGCGAAGTTACGTCAAATTTCACGTATTCGTAAGTGAAGAAAAAACATGAAAGTTCCTTTTACGTGCGACTGCCCAACGATGGTTGTGGGCCATCCCCATAAAATTTCAGCGCTTTGGCTGCTTCCATTGCGGAATTATGTCATATTTCACGTGTTCGTATGTGAGACGTACGTAGGACGTGAAAGAACAGTGAAAGTCGTTTTCATGCCAATCTGGCCAAACGCACCCGTCGGCCACGCTTGGAAAGTTCCAGCTCTCTAGCTGCTTTAGTTCCGGAATTGCAAAACTGCCTACGTGAAATCTTCACATGTCAGTGTGTGTGATGCAAAGAAGCTAGAAAGCTCAATCTAATTCCTCGCAAACATCTGCAGGCGACCAGCAATGGTGCCAAATCACAGCTCTCTATAACTTCTTGGTCAGCTTAAACCTGGAATTGGCACGATGCCAGTTCAGGCTTTGACATGTACGTGCGTGAGACCCGGGACTACGTGAAGGTTGAATTTGAAATCTTTGGACTGGGTGTTGCCAAGGAACATTTCTATGGAGTTTTAGCCGCCTAGCTTGAGCCGTTCCCGAAATCGTCTTCCCGTCAAAAAAAAAAAAACTTTCGCGTGCTTGTGCGTGAGAACCACGTGAACGTGAACGCCCATTTTGGGCACAGGAGCCCGTATGTGTAAATTGCTGCCAAAGTTTCAGCCTCGTAACTTTTGTAGATCTCGAGATGAAAACTTGGTGCAGACGCACATATAGACATAGACACACACAGACAACCCCGACAATAGGCGTTTTTGCATTGCACAGACGCACGTCATTAGCCAGCGCACCGACTGCCGTCGCGAAAATGCTAACAGCACTGTTTTTCCTGGCAACTGTTTCCAACTAATAAAACTGAGGCTGGCCACCATGAATGTCAGAAATTATAACAGTG